AGTGTGGGTTTTTATTTCTCTTACTAGTGGACATTCTTTCTTGGTTTCCTACTCGAACTTGGAAATTTTGTTTACCCTTTTCCTTGACGGTCTTGTGCAACACTTAGGGTTTACTATGAAATTTGATAAAATCAGGTACACTATCGATTTCTCTACCTCAAAATTTTCCCCTTTCACCATCTTTTCCAATCTTCTTCTGAAACAACAATTTGATATCAGATTTTAAGTTTCCGTTGTTCTCTACGTGTTTCTTGTGGTGGGTTTCATATTCCAATTTGTTTGATTTTTGTTTTTTACTAAATTTACCATAATCTTCGAGTTCTTACCGATTCTGATAATTCCATATGATTAATCTGGGAAGAAATAGTTCGAAAGAACGTATATTTTCTTATACCTAGAGTTATATATGCCTTCAGTATTATACATGTATGTGGATTATCCACTGACGTGCCTTACAATTTAAGTTTCTTATAAAGGAAGCATAGAACTAGCTCTTGTTTGGCAACCAGCACAGTACGTAATGTTTGTTTAAAGATATATTATTTATGACTATATATGTTTTAGTGTTTGTACTCCTTTCTTCTTGCCTGATCTTGAAGTAATTATTGAGATATTCTCGCTATTAGTTTAAGGGTTTTTGTGTGTAGATATTTTTCTTTGCTCATAATAATTTTTGACTCATAGAATAAAATCTGATTTTTGATTCAGGGCTTATGACGACGGTTTATGTTCCTGTGTTTGATGGAAACCATTACGAGTGTTGGAGTTTGAAAATGAAAACGTTTTTGAAGGCTATGGATCTATGGGATGTCGTGGAAGAGGGAATTAATCAAGAACCGTTGCAAGAGACTTCATCGACATCTCAAGAATTCGAAGGATACGATTATGTATCATCAATTGCTGAGTACAATTCAGTTGGATGAAAAAAAAGACGTGAACGCGCTTTGTTTAATCCCATATGCATTAAGCCATGAGATTTTTCCGTGGATAGCTTCTGCTACCTCATCAAAGGAGGCATGGGAGCTTTTCTTAGTGAGATCACTAGCTAGGTGGTCCTATATTTCAAGTTAGAAAACTAGTTGATCTCGAGAAAGAGTATAAGGATATGACAATGAGGGATTCAGAAACAATTCATGAGTTTACTGGAAAACTAATGGACCTTGTGTTTCGTATGAAGTCTTGTGGTTGGAAGGTTGAAGGTAAAGAAGTTGTGAAGAAGATTCTTTCCTCTTTGTCTCCAAGATTTGATAAGTTTTGATGGAAGTTGCGGAAACACTTTCGATTAGTGTCCTCATCGATTGTTTGTTAGTTCATGAATACAATATGAAACCGGTTCAAGAGTTTTTGGAAAAACCAGTCGTTGAGAGTGTTAATGTGGAAAGAAGTTTCCAAACAGAAGCTGAATTATTATACTCTTTGGATGACGTCACTCAAAATCAAGTGGCATCGATGAAAAGACAAGGAGAAGTATTGTCGTTGGTGCAGCAGAACCAAGAAATGCTAATACAAATGCAAAAACAAATGGTGTCGTTAATGCAACATACACTTTGATTTTTCTTATACACACGAGGAAGAAATCTATAGAGTGACAAAAATCAATTTTCTTTGGTTTTGGTTTCTTTTTGTTTATGTGAATCTGATCATTATTTGCACACCATTATGCTTTTAGTGTGGGTTTTTATTTCTCTTACTAGTGACAAAAATTATGCTTGTTCTTCAATTTGAAATCGATTTGGGGACCAATAAAGTAAGGAAAACTGAGTTTACTGTAGCAAACACATGTTAATTAAAAATTAACACCATTTGTAATTTTCCGTAAGTCAGGTTAACTCCGTCTAATTCGAGAGTGTAAAATCAACACGTTGGAGTATATATAAGTCATTGTTAAATAGTTGGTGTATTAACGAGACAACCAAAATAGTTCACATATTTTTTTAACAAATTAAATTAAATTTGAATACTTTTAAGGAATGGATTAATTTGCCAACTAACCAAAAAAATTTAATAATGAGGCAACTAACAAAAATTGACTAACGTGGCTAAATGATAACCATATAATTTAGGGTATTTTGTTAGATTTTTAAAGGGAGATTAGTTAGAATAACCTACTTTTTTTTAAAATAGCTAGAATAACCTTACTATTTTTTTATTGCTGAAATAGCTTATTCTAGATTTTTTTTCTTTNATAATACCAAAATTGTCCTTCGCAGATTCTGCCGAGGTATTGGTAGATTCTGCCGAAACATTGGGATACTCTGCCGAAGTATTGGCAGACTCTGCGGAATCATTGGCAGACTCTACCGATGTATTAGAAGATTCTGCCAATATCTAGAAATACGCAGACTCTGTCAAAACATTGGTAGAGTCTACCAAAACATTGGTAGAGTCTACCAATGTTCGGCAGAGTCTGCTAATGTTTCGGCAGAGTCTGCCAAAGACAATTTTGGTATTACGAAAGAAAAAGAAAATCCAGAATAGGTTATTTCAGCAATAAAAAAATGATAAAGTTTTTGAGCTATTTTTTTTAATTATAATTTTTTATTTATTATATTTGCTAATTTCCCTTAAAAGAATTTTCCCAGATGTATTTGACTATTAACAACGAGTAGCAGCCAAAAGAAAAGGAAAAAGACGAGACTTTAACAGTTTATCTCTTCTGTTCTTACTAGTTCTTCGTATCTCCGATTTTTGCCAAGGCTTGCGAGTTCAGGTAAAAAATTCTTACAAGAACCAAGTCCTAATTTGTTGATACTCTTGTATCTCGGAAAAAAATGGCCTCGATTACTTGCTGGCAAAAAAAAAAAGAACCAATTTCGTGTTTTGGGTCTCGATTCTTTCTCACCTAGTTGAAATCTGACCCTTTTTAAAAAAAGATTTTCATGAAATTTTGGTGATTTATTTTTGAACTTTTTAGGGTTTTAAGGATTGTTTGTTTATCGTTGATTTCAAGAGCTAGGGGTTGGTAATTTATGATTTGGGTTTCTAAGGTTTTAAGATTTGTTTTTTTTTAGTGTGGATTCGATCTTAGAGGAGCTAGGGTTGGTAATTTTGTGGATTTGTATTGTGAGGAAGTTCTTACCTTCATCTTGT